GATTCACCTCCTAATATGTAACTGTTGTTGAATTATGCAAACAAACGCACCTTACAACGCAAATATAACATAAGCTATACACAAGATTGGGCGCCTACAGAAACTAGTTAGTTGTATGCATTTAAAAGCACGATGTTTACACAAAATCTCCCCTGAACATTAAATCAGTACAAAAAAGTGTCACGAGTAAACTCCCTTGATATACTGAACATTCCGACATCCTCGTTCAATCTTTGATCCGAAGGATTCTGAATGCCACAATAATAACTAAAGCTCCGTACCTCAAAGCGATGCCTATTTTGACAAATCCTGAGTCATGATTTCGGAGAAGTGGTGTTGCGAGTACATATTAAAGCGGGAAATATGGCGCCTCCTCAGCCAGCTGAAGTGGGAAACGACGATCAAAATGGTATTTATTCTCTTCCTTGCACTATATTTAACGATATATAATTCGCAACGAAAAGGATAAGTGTTTGCTATATCTGCATAGGCTCCTACAGTGTATCACGTGTCCGGATAAATGGTGTGTGAACAAAATTTGGAGTGGTGCATACAGCTACGATTGCCATCAGACATTGTTATTTATGTCGATTATCATCTGTTTCGGAGGAAAAAGAAGATCTCAGGACTTACCGATGAGATGTGGCATTAAAGCGATATTTACTATGCTTTTGGATTTATTACATTTATCTCAAACTGAAAATGCTGAAAGTATCAGACCACTGGTGAAGTGTTGACGACTTATTATTCAAGGACAGGCAGACAGCTTACAGGCTGAGGAGGGATTGTAGTCAAAATTGTAAAAGTCAAAAGGGCCATAGACTTAAGTCAAACGGCCATAGGTAAAAAAAGAAAAAACAAACTAATATATACTTTGTGTTTTATTATATTAATATTTATTGTTATTATTTATATTTGTATCAATATGTACATAGTAACAAAAGTAATAATTTTTAGTGTGATCATTATACACTCGACAGTTGATTGGTTCAAATGTTCAAATGGTGGTTCAAGTGGTTCAGATGTTCACAATTCACTCATCTTTAGAGTTCACCACCGACATCATCATTAGACACGTATCATACACATTCCACTGCAATCACTGTATGGTGGTTGAAATGTTCGTCTTATATGGCATTGTGAGTCATGAGACCAATCACTATGATCACAACTAATTAGATTAATGACACCCATGACTCTGTTTAAACCTCACAACAAATTAAAACATTAAACTTGTTTAGATTACTGATTAGTGTCTGACACCCATGACTGTTTAAACCTCTTGTAATCATTACAGAAACAGTTGTATGGTTGACTATACTCACAACATAAACACTTAACCACTACTGTTAATTTTGTTTAGATTACTGACCACTTGTAATCATTACACAAACCGTTGTATGGTATAAAGTAAACACTTAACCACTGAGATTTTTTAAATAAACAACACTGAGGCACTCTGATGTATTTAGGATGTTTAGGATTAGAACTACTGCAACAACATGAATTTCTTTTCATCTTACTATTTTCTAAAAGTTTGGCCCTTTTGACTTAAGTCTATGGCCCTTTTGACTTTCTGTTGGCCCATTTGACTTTCCTTTGGCCCTTTTGACTTTTACAATTTTGGCCCTTTTGTCCTTTGGACCTGTTCCCCTGAGGAGGCGCCGTTTTCATGTTATTGTCAGAGCTGTTGTATAACATAAGGATGAAGAAAATGATACATGAAGTGCAGCAATGAAATAAGTTATCCGTAATATATCTAGGCAATGTCGGAAGCGGGTGCAATGTTGTTGATCGTGTTGACATTGTCATTCTGGTTAAAGTATCCCGGTGTCAGGGGTTTTCGACGATGTAAGACAAAAACATATTTTTTATCTGTAATATCATTTAAAGTTTTTATTTTGCCAACCTTGAGTGATAAAGAATATATTCATCTATTTCACGCAAAAATATCAAGTGGTCCCTTAAAAAATAGCGTTCATGACATCGTATCAGCGAAACTGTTGCCCCTTTCCACATCCGGGTATTTTGTATGGGTTTTCAACGATGAGCCATACTTTTTGCTCCGCACTGCAAGGGAGTGTTGTGATCACGTGGCTTCCTATTTATATATTGCCTGTCACCAGCAGATGACTGATCTTACTGAAATTTAATGTTATATTGGCAATTGATTTTGCATCTGCAGTGGTATTAACGATCACGGGTAAATAATATGGATGTCTGTTTGCTTTTTATATAACTTAACTTCCGGATATCCATTGTCAATAAAACTTCTCACGACAGCGACTGGGCATCCGTCCTGCTGATGAAACTGCTTGTGCACTCCGATCGCGCATGAACTTTACTGATATAGCCCGAGCAATGCAATCGTCGAAATCACCAGAACGTCAAATTCAGCTCACTTTGGGATACCTTTTACTTCAGTCTTCCTGAAGTCCCCGAACCATATACTTTCCCCTCCTGCCCCCCCTCCTGCCCAGCCCCTCCCTCCTGCTCTTAGCCCTTACTGTAATGATATGAATCTGTTAGGACATTTGCAGGAAAAAATATCTCATTCCTGTTGTTAGAGAGTAAACATAAAAAATTGCCATTGCTGGCTAGTCTTTGGTAATATTTGTTATGAAACTTTTCTAACATTTGCATCAGTCATCTACTACTTGACAAGCTCATGGATTGGCAAGGAGATAAGGACCTTGTTGTTTGTGTGATCTAAATGTGGGGTCTTGCATCTCACCATACTCACAGGCTCTACTTTTCAAGTCAGGGAGGTGGGGTAGACTAGTGGTTATTTAAAGCGTTTGCTCGTCATGTTGAAGACCCAGGTTTGATTCCCCCCATGGGTACAATGTGTGGAACCTATTTCTGGTGTCCACCGTCGTGATATTGCTGGAATATTGCTAAAAGCGGCGTAAAACTATACTCACTCACCCACTACTTTTCAAGTTATTTTCTGGTTATTGTTGTGATAAGCATATGATAAGTTAGCACTGTGAACATGGTCAAAACATGTCAATTTATTTTGTTATTATTTCACCTCAATGTCAACTCATTGTGAGTGAGCGAGTGAGTTTAGTTTTATGCTGCTTTTAGCAATATTCCAGCACCAGAAATGGGCTTCACATATTGTACCCATATGCGGAATCGAACCCGGTTCTTCGGCATGACGAGCGAACGCTTTATCCACTAGGCTACCCCACTACCCCATGTAGTCCTAGTGTTTATCTGAAAATGATTGTCATGGTTACTCAACTGGATGTGAACCCATCAGGGCTCCAGATAAGGGCCGTATGGGCGTATGTATGGATAAAAAATATGCACGACACGGTGGGAAATAATTTAGGAAACATAGCAGATACGCACCACAGCAATGGTGTACGGTCTTACTCTTATAATCATTTACAGACGTATTTATCTGAAAAATTATTGTTTCATTGTTTATTGACCTGTTTACACAAGAGTAGCAATGTTATGGTGCATATATGAAACGATACACAAGATTACTGATACTCCATTAAATTCCATAAGTACTCTTAAAGGTCACATGCAACGTAAAACACAACTTTGCAGATTCTGATACCTTTCGGTATGGACATACCGAAACAAATAGTCAAAAATGCAAATTCAACTTATAAAGTTGAAAAATAACGCGATGAAAAAAAACGCGCGAAATCGGAGTTCAAACGTTTCACTAATTTTCCCCAGAGATTTCTGGGGAAACGGGTTTCAACAGCTGGGCTGCGCCCATAGCACGTGCGCAAGTAAATAGGTTCGCGCAGCTTTGGAAGCGGGTTGTCGGTGAATACTTCGGTGAAGGCCTTGGTGTGAGCTATTTTTCTAATGTTTTGTTGATATGTCACAGTAGCGAGCTTTTATATGTTATGACAGTAAATTAACTGTTTATATAATTTCATTTGTCTATTTCACCACGCTCTTCTTCTTACCGAGGCGGCTTTCTCAGTTCGATACTTAAAAGCAATGTCATTATTTAGCGTTGACACAGTTTCTAACTGTGATATAGATATAATCGATTTGTCACAGACAAAACTCAATGTCTTGTTTTATTGGCACCTATGTGTCTGCCTGCCTGTCTGCTAATGACAATATTCAATACACAACTGCAATCACTGACCACATGCAATTTGAACTTAACACCAATCAGGCTATACACCATAAAAAAAGCGCATTGATTTATGGCCCGAGTTAGGTCTCTGTCACATTATGTAATTACACAGACAGGCAGGTGTGATACTTGAACACATGACATGTTATGATGTCTGTTGCTTGCAAAATGTTATACACAAAAAATGAGCATGTATCTACAAAACCCAACATCTCTATATACACACACAATATGAGGCCTGAAGGCGGCATCTGCTAATGAACCAGCCGTTACACTTGAGTGCACACCCACCCGCTCTGACTGGGTTCGGTATCCCGGCTGCTTCGTTTCGAGGGAGGTAAACCCAAGTACAAAATATTGCACTTTTGATTTGCGATTATACGCTTATAATTTTGTTTATTTGTTTTTTCATAATCAGCTATGCATATTATATGTCATGAAGAAGTGATAATTGTGTTTTAATTATGTTTGATTTTTTGGTTGCATGTGACCTTTAAGGTTTTTCAGTACTCCTGTACTGAAAAAAATAAGGAGTACGTACTCCTGATGTTGAAGAGTTATCTGGAGCCCTGCCCATGCTTGTCTTAAGACGGGATCGGGTGGTCAGGCTCGCTGGCTTGGTTGACACATGTCATCGGTTCCCAATTGTGCAAATTGATGCTCATGTTGTTGATCACTGGATTGTCTGGTCCAGACTCGATTATTTACAGACCACCGCCATATAGCTGGAATATTGCTGAATGTGGCGTAAAACTAAACTCACTCGCTCACTCAAGTGGATGTGATGATTTGTTCTCAGAGTCTCTTGTGCGAGGAAGGTCAAAGCGTCAGAAGATTGACAAGACGGGCAGATCAGCTGCTTTCGAGAGACTGAGGAAGACCAAGGAGAAAGGGGGAGAAAAATAAATATGAGGTAAGAATGGTATTTTAATTTAAATTGGATTCAATTCCAAATTCTTTTGTTAACTAAAGATAGCTTATATAAATTTTCTACAGTGTGGACAGCTCAGATACTATTTTGTTGTGCAATGTATCTGTGAACAATTGTGTTTCATTTGGGCCAAATCATATTGATTCGATTTTCATCCCTAACCACCTTAACAACAAAATTCTTACTTAAGTTGTTTGATTTATAATAAGTACAATGTTTGAAAGTCAAACGATCTTGTCATAACCCCAATGATTCAGTTCAGTGTTTAGTAAGATGGTTAATAATAAGTGCATATGTGAATACCCGTGAAGGTCCGGGTTAGAATGAACCTTCAGTAACCCATGCTTGTCGTAAGAGGCGACTAACGGGATCAGGTGGTCAGGCTCGCTGACTTGGTTGACACGTCATCGTTTCCCAATTGCGCAGGTTGATGCTCATGTTGTTGATCCCTGGATTGTCTGGTGCAGGCTCGATTATTTACAGACCGCCGCCATATAGCTGGAATATTGCTGAGTGCAGCGTAAAACTAAACTCACTCACTCACTCACTTGTGCATGCTCAAATCGCCAACAATCATTACCCCGGATAACCCAAGCTGCCTATTAGGCGCTAGAAGGTTATAGTTACATGACTTACCCCATCTGGTACCCATCTTCTGCTGGGTGAACATAGGCATTTTTGAACAAGCTCACTTGCCTAAGGTGTGACCACATCTGCTTCGTTGTTGGGCAGGACTGAACTCCTAGAAACTCTCAGGAGTCAAGCTGCCAAACGTGGTCGCCCATCCAAGAACTTCAAGAAATGCCTTATCTTCAACTGATTCGCGACCTGAGCTCTACGCACAGGACCACAAGTTGTGTCATTGTACCCCAAGTATATGGATTGTTTCTATGAGTAGTATATCAGTTACTGTAACATTTACCGGTAACTGTTATAAGCGTGGCAGCTAACAAAGTAAACTAGATCAATCTGTCATGGCTGACTTTGGGTGCAGGTGGAGGAAGAGAAGGACGTGTACGAAGTGGTGGACGAGAGCAAATACTCCGAGATCGTGAGACAGCGTCAGGAAGATGACTGGATCATCGACGATGGTAAAATATTGCCAAACTTTTTGAACTTGATAAAAAGAAAGAAACCTCATTTGAAATAACGTTATCTATGTTAATGTCCAAATAGTAAATATCCTGTTCTCTGAACTAGAATTATTTTTCCCAGGCACAAGCAGTTTCATCAAGCTAATGCCAAACATGACAAGATGAATGGTAAACTAGTTAACCAGAAGTTGTAAACTTCAAAATAGAATGTTTCCCATATCTGAATTGGAAAACCCTGAAATATAATCATAAACACCACCTGGTTGCCTTAGAGTTGAATTGAGCAGGGTTTGCCATGAAGCTGAAATCTTGCATATTTTATGCAATCTGTGTAAGAAATACTCAGGTTGTCAGGTACATCTGTAATTCTGTTGTTTAATCTTCTTTAGATGGAGCTGGGTATGTTGAAGATGGACGAGAGATCTTCGATGAGGATCTGGATGGAGATGAGTTCACGAAAGCTGAAAGTATGAAAGTTTACAGAAATACACCATTTGTATCTTCTATCAGACATCTTTGTCTTGACTTTTATTCTGATTCTTGGTCCAAAGAACCTATTTTTGTCGAACAAGGCGGCTTAATTGGACCAAGAGATCACACATGGTTGATTTGGTTGTGTAGGTGTTATCACACCCTAACCACATGGAACCATGCTCAGAGCTCCAGATAAGATTTAGCTCATGTGGGTACTTTACCCGCTGTATTTTTTTGGAGTGGGTATTATGAATGTTGAGTGGGTATTTCATTTTCCGTTACCTACTGCTTTCAAATATGTGCGTATTTCAGTCATTTTACTCACCTAAGTATTATGTCATTGAGTAAGTTTAATAAGCAGGTATGTTCTGCCTTATGTCATACCTCATCAAAACCAACTTAAATATAATGGAAATGATTTCATAAAAAAAATCACTCATCCTATACTAACAGTACAACTTGATAGCAATCAATGTCTTTTTCATTACGCAAGTGATTTTTATAAATATATTCCATACGCATTTGTTTTAAACTTTTTGCGTATCTAACATTTTAAATGCGTAATTGGTATGCAACAATTATTTTTCAATGCGTAATTGGAAATTTTCTATGCATATTTTACCCGGATACACGGCTTACCTGGGCCTCTGCATGCTTACAATACCAGTCACTGGTTTGTCTGGTCCGGTCTTGATTATGTATTTGCAAATAAGGACGGGCTGGCATTAAACAGAAAAGATATGTAGGTCAATAACAGGGTACCTGATTTACTGTATTGAGCGTATTTATCACCCCCTCCATAATAAGAGCTACCTATGAGAAATATTTAGCTTGCAGATCACCAATCCCTCCTCCACAAATTCTGTCAAGTTCTTATTATCAGGTATACATAGCCAAATGCTGTTTCACAAAGTAATCAATGCAGGTCGAGGTGAGTGTGAACTTGGAAATAGGTTGGTGTTTGTGACACAGGGCACTGCCTGTTTTGTGTGTGAGTTTAAACCTCTATCTAAAGCCCTTTCCTTCCTTTGGCATTTTAGGCAATAGAACATAAATGAAATTGTTATTCCTTTCAGCTAAGAAAAAAGCAGACAAGAAAAACAAGAATATTGTCCGTCCAGGGACGAAGCCGAAGCCGAAGAGCGACATCAAGAGCATGTTTGCTGCAGCAGCGGTCACTTCCAAGAAAAAGCCAGAGGTAACACTGACACGTAATTTGCTTCAGGTATAAGAAATCTCACCCATGTAAGGTTAAGGTCATCCATCAAAAGTCAAGGTCATTTTTTTGTTGCCAGATACTGTTGCATCTTTACATCTACCATCGTAAGGTCTAGTAATTGTTTCAACTTCTGAAGTTCACAGAAAAAGGTCAAGGTCACAGTCAAGATCCTATTAAATGTGTCTTCCCTCTATGGTGAATAGTCCAGGGACTTTTTGAGGTCTAATAATGTACCCTTCGAGAATGGTGCAGCTTGGAGTTCGGCGGTTGTGGTACATCGACTGAGGTGTCATACCTATATTGTTGTGTGTTTTTACAGAAAAATGTGACCTTGGAGAATGATGAGTTGCTAGGCGACCTGATGGAGGAGCTGCACCGAGGCCCCAACAGCAGCTCGTTCAAACCCGTGCCCGTCAAAGTGAACAAGACCAAGCCAGCCAAGTCAGTAGTCAGATGTCACAGTCAGCCCTTAGCCATTACCAAGCTCATGAACTTCCCCTTTGTCACCCTAATGAAGGGGCAGTGGGGTAGTATAGTGGTTAAAGCGTTTGCTTGTCACGCCGAAGACCCGGGCTCGATTCCCCACATGTGTACAATGTGTGAAGCCCATTTCTGGTGTCCCCAGCCGTGATATTGCTGGAATATTGCTAAAAGCGGCGTAAAACTAAACTCACCCACACACTCACCCTAATGGATATTTACCACCTTATATATTTTGGTTGGTTTGCGAGTCCAACGGAAAAGAATACCCTGAAATTCGAAAACGGCAAAACTGAAAAGGAACACCCTCTATCAACTTTTTGCTGCTGTGTGTATGTTGGGATGGGTAGATGCGTCAGAGGCAGTGAAATGAAGAAATTAATTGAAATATAATTACTGCAGAACATAGTAAGCCATACAGATTTTAAATGATTGGCTTGTTATACAAAATATACCTGCCGTGGCATTACGTGTAAGTGCTTATTTTGAACACTGTCTTGTAGGCCGGCCAACCCGTTCAGCATGGACAAGTCGTCGCCCCGTGTGAAGCAGGTGAAGTCTGTGAAGCAGCCGCGGAACATCACTAGGGAGTTGTATGCAGAGGAGTTGAAGGTCAGCCATGTGAAGGTCAAGCAGGAGCCTGTAGACGACATTCCAGACATCGAGGAGTTTGGAAGCATGGACGTGGATGACAACAAGAATGAAATCACAAATGCCGTCTCTCAAGGTAGGCAGGAAATCTTCTTTAACAACGTTTTAAAGGACAATTCACCTGCAGTGGTTTCGGAAGTGATGTCTTTAGATCCAACTCTCTTATCACTTAACTGAAACGTCAAAATGCTCCTTCTGAAAAGGATTTCCGGATTGCTATTCATTGAAAATCATGGCTTATGATGGACTTTTAACACATTTAATTGACTTGGAATACTTTAATCAGTAGTTAAAGATTGCTGAGTGAAGGAGTTGACTTGTGGTTTCAGTTGTGAAGGAATCAGGTAATTGAATGATATGTTGATAAAAATCAAGTGGTAGTTACCAAGATTCCAATAGGCAGGGTTATACACAGGCTTTGAAAAAAGAGTCCCACAGTATTTATTTTTGGGAGTCATTTTCAATATTTGGGAGTCATTAAAATTTTAGCGTAATATTTATGTGTGTATGTCAAAAAGCAAGAGTTTTGCATGGATTTTATTGTTTTGTGTTTTATTTAAGAAATACACTTTGCTCTACCACCATGTATAGTGTAATAAAACACACTTTTGCCCTGAACTATTATAGTTAAAGCACGAGGACGGCTTGCGTCGAGTGCTTTAGATATAATAGTTCAGGGAAAAGTGTGTTTTATTACACTATACATGGTGGTAGGGCGAAGTGTATTCTTTCTAAGATGCCAAATTTAATACTTTCTAAAGATAATTACGATTAATTTAAGGCAGAAAACAAGCGGCGGTGTCGGTGACCTAAATTAAGAATCCTCGCACAGGGCTAACTGGCTGTTCTATTGATGTGTCTGCCCCTACGTTAAGGCGAGCGTTACCAGAAAAAAACAAATGATAACAGTTTGATGGCGGTTTACGTTAGGATTAAATATCTTCTCTGAATTATTTTAATTACATCTGTCGTGCGTAAACCATATGGGGCAATATGAGCGTTGCATTTCTACTACCAGCGTAAGTTTAGATCAGTACATCCAGAGGAAGTTGAGTAGTCAGCGACATTCCACACGAATGCATTGTGGGAATGTAAACATTACGAACGTTACCATGTCGCTGAAAACTTGTGAGTCGAAATGACACATTTTAACCGTCGTAAAACATAAACGTAATGTTTCCACCAGTGATGTTAGCTGCGTGAAGCAACAGCAAACCAAGAAACTGGATGCAACGGTGTAGTTTACTGTAGGAGGCCGTACGAGGCGATGACAACTGACATGCATCGTGACGTCGCTTACATTGTGACGTAATGTAAAATGGTTCGATTACGAGGGGGCACACTAGAATGGCGCAGTGACGGGATAACGTCATTCAATTGTTACGTCATCAAAAAACTATACCTTTATTGTCTGATAATGTATTTTTTTCGATTGTTCTAACCGCTAGGCATCTTAGAATGTCATTTATATGTTAGTTAATAAACAGTATATTTTTCACTGTTCAGTTCAGTCATAACAAACTCCAGTATACTGAACAAATAATCAGGCTTGTGATTTATTCACTGTAACATACAGTTATTAACATGAATTGAAATAAATTATTGAAGAACTCACGAAAACTATCATTGTTTGCTTATCAAATCGATTTTATTGACTCTGAACTGAATTCTGAGGGTCACTCATAAAACTTGCGTCAGCGTCAAGCTAGACTCGTATGATAATATTTTGAGAGTCTTTTACAAAATTGTTGCGTCAAATACGCAGGAATCACGCGTCATGTAAAACCCTGTATAGGTTCAATTTCTCTGAGGGCAGTGGGGTAGTATAGTGGTTAAAGCGTTCGCTCGTCACATCAAAGACCTGGGTTTGATTCCCCACATGGGTACAATGTGTGAAGCCCAATTCTGGTATCCCCTGACGTGATATTGTTGAAAGTGACGTAAAACCATTTTCAATCACTCACTCAATGTCCCTGATGTTTCTTCATCCAGTGGGTGCCACAAAGGTGGTAGAAATTGACACCCTGCAGCGCTGTAGGCTTTAAATGAACTCATTGAACTGAATACTTTTTGTATCTTCCAGATGACTCTGCTATGGACCTGAATGACATCGACTTTGATGACGAGGTGACGGAAGTGATGACACCGGCCGTGAAGGAAGTGAAACCCACAGTTAAGACAGAACCTGCCACAAAGTACGTACTGAACAGTCGCTTTGATCCTCAATGATGGAAAGTTGGACCATCAGTGTATATTCTTGCTTCTGTTTCATTCACATCCGTATGGTTAAGTGGATAGTGTTTGCCTGGAGAACTCACGTTGAAGGGTTGTATCCCCGTGTTATATAATAGGATGCGAGAAGATAGTATTCAGGGTGGAAATAACTTTAAATTCTTTTTCTTTTTTCCTCCTTGGGGTACATATAAGCATTAAAATGTCCATTTTAAAAACCTACGACAGTTGTAACAATATTTCAATAACATATTTTACCAAACAAAAAACTCGTTATGTTTAGTGAGACCACCCCAATAGGGCCCCTCACAGGGCCCCCTACAGCCAAGAGCAGGTTACTCTGGCTGCGTACCTCGTACCTCACTTTTCATGCTGTCGTTGACCTATTTGGTACTCTGGTACAGTTGCACATGTAAAGTCACTTGCCCTGATAATTTGTCCACTATACCGACCCTTTCTTGCTGGCTTTTTAAATAAACAACATAATTAACATTGGAAAGTCACCTGGACATCGGTACAGTGTGATATACAAATTTGCTTGCCCGACAGAAAAAAACACTGAACTAGGACGTCGGGCAATGGGTTATTTCCACCCCTGGTGTTGTTTGGCTCTCTCTCTGGCACTTTGCAATAACGAATAACACAAATGCAAGGACTTCAAATTTTATTGAGGAAATTAAAGGTTGTTTTCATGGCTAAGAATGAAAGCCTCATGTCATGTCGTGATGGTTATGGAAATTTTTGTCACAACCAGTTTCAAAGACTAAAATTGTTTCCATTATTCAGTGGAGAGTTTTTGTCAACCGGATGGGGAAGTGTGAAGATGGAAGAGCCAATGACAGTCACTGATGTGCAGGTTGACTCCTCCCAGTTACCCTTAACGACCAATGAAAATGGAGACCAGGTGCTGCGATTCTATTGGCTAGATGCTTATGAAGATCATTACAAACAGCCAGGTATGTAGACTTGTAGAGGTCAAGTAACTGTTCTAGGCTCTCTCGACCCGTGAAGATCTGGTGTAGAATAGGTCGTCAGCAACCCATGCTTGCCACAAAAGGCGACTATGCTTGTCGTAAGAGGCAACTAACGGAATCGGGTGGTCAGGCTTGCTGACTTGCTTGCCAAATATACTATGTACATTTTGTGATAATTGTTTGCAGCGATATCACAAGAAATGTTACTGGTTCCAGGTGTGATTTTCCTGTTCGGGGGAAGGTGTGGATAGACTCCGCGAAGACCCATGTCAGCTGCTGTGTGACCGTGAAGAACATCGAGAGACGTGTCTACTTCCTTCCTCGAGCCACGGTACGGTGGCCCTTGCTGGCTACAGCTGATAAATTCAGTTTGTTGGTTGAGAATCACGTCATGTTTAAATTTCCATAATTCGTCTCTTGAGACAAGTAGAATTCGGGAAGGACAGTTTCTTCTGTAATAGGGATGATGGGGTAGCCTAGTAGTTAAAGCGTTCGCCCGTTAAAGCGGCGTAAAACCATACTCAGTCACTCACTCCTTTGTATTAGGCCTCTGACGAATTCAGCTTAGATGGGTTTCTCTACTACACCAAGGGTGATGAGTAAGATCTTCACATCTCTAATATATAGGTGTTGAAAACTTGGTTAGAAATGGGAAACTGTGTCTTTGACCTTTTGTAGTTTCTGAAACAAATTTGTCCTCTGTCGTTTATTGATTGCATGTGTTAAATGCACAACTAGTTCATGAATTTCGACTCCATTTTGTATCCCTTGTGATGAGAGAGTCACGGTCAAGCGTGTCCTGCTTGACTGTGTTGAATTCTCCATCATAAGGGATAAATATTTCAATGTAAAAACAGTTAAGGATCTTTTTACCACTGTTAATTTTCATTTAATTATTGCTTTTTTAAAAGAAATTGTTTTAGTTGATGAATGTTAATTGATATGTTCTGTAGATACAGTAGATGTATTTTAATAATTGGTAGTGTAGATTAGTACGTTAGATTGTTAGTGGCTGTACCCTCAAAGGGGGTTGAAGTATTGTAAAATTATTGTCCTCCTGAGAGGGTACATAAGTCCCGAAACATTTGAAGTAAATTTGAACTTACCAGATTCTATAAACGTAGTATTTTTGTTATTTTAATGTATGGCTAAGTTCAACTACAATCGCCAGCGGTAGAAGGGATAACATAAATCCAGCTAGGGTCCATGCAGTTAGCAAAAGTAATGTACCCATGGTCCCTAGTGTGGTGATCTATCTTCAGTTGTTGGCGATCAGTAGCCAATTTTTTACATTGTATTGTCCAAATATAATTTTCTACTTTTAAAGATATATGCTAGCTAGTTTTAACTCATTTTGTGATAATCTAGTAATTTTTCTGTCCTTCGTTGACAGGGTTTTATATATTATATATATGTATTATGAATTTAGAACTAGTTTAAATATTTACTCACTATCTTACTCACTCACTCACTCATGAATTTCGACACCAGTGTATTTACTTTTCAGTGATAAATGAAATAAAACGGAGACATCTCTTTGGTATGTCTAGATAGGTCAATGTGAACAGCTTCCTGAATGAGGTTATGTGTATTTCCAGCGTGTGAACACAAAGACTGGAGAAGACACTGGGGAGCCTGTCGCCATGAATGATGTGTATTCAGAATTCAACGACAAAATATCCGAGAAACATAAGATCATGAAGTTCAAGTGCATGGTAAGCTCAAATCAAAGAGAGGCTAGATGTGATGTTGAATGTCAACTCACTCGCTCTATCAAGGAAAATCTGGTATGTGCTGTTATAACCAGACCTTTGAAGATCTGGGTTAGAATTGGTCTTCAGCAACCCATGCTTGTTGTAAGAGGCGACTAATGGGATCGGGTGGTCAGACTCGCTGACTTGGTTGACACATGTCATCGTATCCAAATTGCGTAGATCGATGACTGGTCCAGACTATTATAACAGAGCGATGCCATATAGCTGGAGTATTACTGAGTGCCGCATAATCAACAAACAAATATTATAACCAAACTGTTTCAGGCCTCAATAAATTGAATTTTTCAGACATTTGTGGGTGAGGCATCATCTCTCCATCTTCATAGTCGAAGAAATAAGTCAAACTTAATTCTGTTGAAAATGATCCTATGCGTTCAAATGAATGAGATTTGTTCATTGATGTTCAGCTCAACAGATACATGTTTTGTATTTATAAAACCTTTAAATGTAATATTAAGGCATTTGGGTAAAAAAGACTGATTTTAGATGTTTTTTAGGGAATGTTTTTTTGATATTTATATATGTCTCTGACCCAAGGTATTATTTTACTGGAATAAAGATAAAGCTGAAACAAACTGATGATGACAGAATTCGATTTTGAACATGAACTTGTTCATGATTATTTATTATCTTTGAAAAAAATGCAGCCACGTTTATTCACCGTCAATACACTTATATGTTAGAGCATGTCAAAAAGCCATAACTTGTCAACATAAAAAACAAATGTGATGAAAAACGATTTAGGATGTGTATCTGTAAGTAACATGTTTTTCGTCAGTTTGTTTTTTGACATTGTGGGTAAAAACACAGATGCCAACCCTTACGATTTGGGAGTAATTATTACGATTTTGACCATTAAATTACGCCATTACACTTAATCTGCGAAAATTCCGCTTTTCTACTCGTTTTGTGAAAATCAACAAAGTGGATAAAATTTCACAGGGAATTCTTTTCGTAACGCTATAGTGCAGGGGTTCAGAAATGGCCTTACACCGATAGGAATCGCTTACTCTTAGCATTGCACTCATTCCAATTAACTTGTAAGGAATTAAAGTATTTTGTGTCACCTGACCAACAATTTTCGATGTATGGAACTTCATAATGATTGGTCACGTGTATTTCTCTCTAGAATCTTTCCTATTCATGTGAATAAACCTTTTTAAAAGTAATTTTCATAAAGTTATCACCTTTCACTATGTAAGTGTTTTAAGTATTACGCTTTTTAGGTCAAAATTACACTGTTTGACCTCCAGTATTACACTTAGGCCCAAAATAGGGTTGGCATCTCTGAAAAAATTATCTCTACTTACCTTGTCTGTAAATTTGGTTCCAGAAAGTGACTAAACATTATGCTTTTGAGAAGACCGACGTGCCAGTGGAATCGGAGTATTTGGAAGTTCGATATGCTGTGAGTGTTCGTAGGTGTCTTTGATGGCATGGGGCATAGATATGAATAGAAATAATGACATACTTTCTTTGATAGAATACTTGCCCTGTGTGGCCCTGAGTTATGTTCCCTGCTCTCTGTTGCGTGTCGTAAAAGGCAACAAAATTGGATTGTTGGGCAGTGGAGGTGTTACAATATGATGAGACTGAGGTACGATAAATATCCTGATAATGAAGGTAACTCATTATCATTAGATTTTAGTGTCATTACAGTGGAAGGTGTAATCCGGTTTAAACAGCGTGCCGGATTGTAGAGCTGACATGGTTACTTAAGGCTAGAACTGAACCAGTTTTGTCACTCTAGTATACAATGTACATTGTTGTATCACATATCAACTCACTAATTACATGTACTAGTATACCCATACTGAACTAAGATTAAATAATGTTTGTCAGCAACCATGTAGTTTCAACGCCATATTAACTGGCGACAATACACATCCGTCCAACTCCTTGCCACATGCCAGATTAGACAGCGCTGATTACCGTATAGACACATATTCAGGCGGTTCATTTCATGCCGATATCCGGAATTGACAGCTGCCATATTGCAGAGCTTTCAAATGATGATAAATGTACTAACCACGGACGGGACAGATTTTTTTATGCCAGCGTTCACAACTTCCCGGATTGGACAGCTGCCGGTTTTGACAGCTTCCACTGTGTATGAACTGTTAATAGCCGAGCTTACTAGACCGATCATAGTTTTACTTGACTTAGGCTTCAGACTAGTGGGCAAGTCACAGACTGATATTGCTGAATGTGACATCAGACACTATTCATTCATTTACTCACTTTGCCAAACTGTGTGATGTCACATTGAATGTTTGTGTTTTCTCCTGCTGCATGGATTTACCAAGACCAGCTCTCATTGCTGATGTTCGGTACGTAAGTCTACAGCAAAAGTTAAACCTTGTCTTTGGGATCCATATTCTTTTTCAGAAGAGGTCCTCCTTGGGGTACTTATTAGCATTTGTGTGCGTGATATATTTTGATTTTTATTGGACTTGAAATTAAGGGTTGAAGGGGAAGGACATATATTGAGTCAAAAAAGAAACTTCACATTCGTTCTTCAGGGCACTATAAAAGAGATGGTAAGATGGTTAAATTGTTATTATTTCATTGCTGAGATCTGTGTGATGTACTCGATACACTGACAGTGCCATAATCAGTTCCATTAGGCTACACCGCCGTTCCAAAACATGGGTATACAGAATGTCAAGTCACAAGAATAAAAATGCAAAATTTCTCTGTTCAATATCGTGTATGGCCGCCCCGCACATTCACCACTGCCAAACACCGTCTCCTCATCGACTGCCTGGTGCTTGTGAACACGTGGTTGGAGATTCTGCGCCATTGCTCTTGCAAGGCAGTGCCAAGTTCCTGCAAATTCTGAGGTTGGTTCCTAAGACCACGAAGCCTTCTCCCAAGTGCATCCCAAACGTGCTCTATTGGATTAAGGTCAAGGGACCTCGATGGCCAGTCCATGACGTTGATTCCAGCGTTTTGAAGGAAATTTCGTGTCAACATCGCGGTATGCGGCCGAGCATTATCATGCTTGAACTGTAGACCTGGGCCATGAGCCGCCATGAAAGGAACGAGTTCAGGGGTGAGCACCTGGTCGCGGTAAGCAGCAGTTGTGAGGTTTCCACGGATGACCAGAAGTCGGGAACGGTTGTTCCCACAGAAAGCACCCCACACCATACAACTTCCGCCCCCGAATCTGTCAACTTCCTGTACACAACATTGGGCATACCGTTCACGACGTCGTCTCCAGACTCTATGCCTGCCGTCCGCGAATCTGAGGGTAAACCTGGATTCATCGCTAAAGACGACTCGATTCCAGTCTCTCTGGGTCCAACAGAGGTGACGTTGGGCCCACAGCGGACGTTGACATTGATGAAACGTTGTCAATATTGGCCCACGATATGGACGTCGAGAATGGAGATTGGCAGCCCACAACCGATTTCGAATGGTCTGTGAGGACAGTCGACCTCTAAACATCTCAGCCCTGGTTCGTGTAGCCGGCAGAAATCTGTCACGTAGGTGACGTAGGACGATTTGACGGTCTTCTGCTCGTGACGTCACACGTGGAGAACCCGACCTTGGGCGATCAGAAGTGGTGCCAGTTTGTTTGTAGTACGACGGCTGCATCCCATTGCTCTTGCGACGTCAATAACTGATCTTCCCGCTTGCAACATGCCAACGGCACGTTCACGTTGCACATTTGACAATCGTGGCATTTCAAGTACCGTTAGAACTGTGGTTTAAAAGTGTTTTTTCACTTCTTGAGGCCAATGCAAACACGTGCATATGAAGAAAACTTTGATGCAAAGATCACGTGGTCGACTGCACGTGCAAAACCTGATTTGGCACTAACGTCATTTGCACGACGAATGGATGGATTTGAGTGGGTTTTGCTAACGTTTTTCTAGAGTCGAAAGATAGGGATCCCATTTCCGATACATAGATGTATCATCAGAGAAAAATTATTCATTAGTTTTCAAATTACATTTTGTGAAGTTTCTTTTTTGACTCAGTATATATGTTCCTGTGCCACCCAGGGCGTTAACGCTCCCAGGTGAACCCTGATTTATCAGGCTCTTCCCATGTGTCTCGGGACCAAACTGTGGACACCTCGAGCCGAGCATCTGTTTTTCTTGACACTTTGAACCTTACGTAGAACTGGTCAACCTCGACAAACAGGGTTTGGTCATCGATGCCCGTGAGAAGGAGGAGGGGAAGGAGAAGGAGGAGTCAGATGATGTGGTGTTCGTGTTTGAATCGGTTTGTCCTTGAGGCAAGTGTGTGATAGGATTACGGCCGTGTTGCCTCAGGTCACTCTCCACCAGGAAGCCCTGACCTGTCTGAGTTCCACCTCCCTGGAGAAGCCTTTGCTCCCAGCAAGGTGTCCGAGACACGGCTTCACATTCTACCGTCCCTCTGCAGGTGTGGTCGAACATGGCCAAAACAAGTTTTTTGTATTGTAAATATTTTATTCAAAATATTGTTACAACTGTCGTAGGAATTTTTAATGGACATAAAAATGCTAATAAGAGTATTAAGTACCCCAAAGAGGACTCTCTTCAAAGAATCAGCAACCTCTACAGGTTGGTGCGGATTTTCAGTCATGTTAAGATAGCTAGCTGTCAGTGTGGTGTTGTGTCTTGTATGTTGCTAAAACCAGGGCCTGAAGCCCATTTCTGGAGTCCCCCGCCGTGATATTGCTGGAATATTGCTAAAAGCGGCGTAAAACCAAACTCATTCACTCACTCACTCACTCACTCACTCAAAACCAGGGCCAGTTAAGAAGGGGCATGTTGTCTTATTATATACAAGATAAAATAGTAAAATTGATTTTATGAAAATGAAAACATTGAAAGTCCAAATTCTAAACCAAACTGATGGCTTCCTAATTCCATGCTCAAGGCAGCTAGTTTTATATCCCTGATAACTCCCTTTGTGTTGGGTTAGCTAAATGGACCCAGTTTGATTCCCCACGTGTGGGTAAAATGTGTGAAGCCCATTTCTGGTATACACTGCAGTGATATTGCTGGGATATTTCTATAAGTGGTGTAAAACCATACTAGCTGTGAACTAAAGTATTCATGAAAAATACTTGTGGGTTGCAGGCTGACCTTCCACAGCTGCCAATGAACTTACAGGGAGAAACCTTCAGCCATGTGTTCGGCACAAACACTTCAAGGTATGTAATCTCCGTGAGAAAGGGGGCGGTGGGATAGAGTAGTCGTTAAAGCACTCGTCATGCTGAAGACCCGGGTTCGATTCCCCAGATGGGGTACAATGTGTGAAGCCCTTTTCTGGTGTCCTTCGCCGTGATGTTGTTGGAATATTACTAAAAGTGGCGTTAAAACTCACTCACTCACTGTTTGATAGAGTTCATTTAGTAAAGGGAGATAATTCTGCTTTTCCAATTGACAGAATTGAATGATTTCTCTGCCACAAATCATGTTATAGTTGAAATACAATTATATTTTTGCATATTGAAGGAAGATTTTACTTGTTTAAAATTCATCTTTAGAAAGATCAGTGGATTCCTTTTCAGAATCAACAACAAGAACCATAGCATGATGTCATCTCAATAGTTTAAATATGGGAGACTTAGATTTGTACCTGTTGCTTTGACAGCAGCTTTGATAATAATCATTCTTTATTCAGTCCCATAGTCCCACGAAAAATTGTTGGAAAAGTTTAGAACTGATCTTCAGCAACCCGCTTGTCGAAACTGGCGACTACCAGGATTGTGGTCTGGCTCGCTGACTCAGTATGCGATAATATGTATGATATGATTATGTACACGATCTTCAATAATATTTCATCTGTTCCAGTTTAGAGTTGCTGCTTTTGGACAGAAGAATGAAAGGCCCAACATGGCTTGACTTGAAAACACCACGTAAGTTTCTTATTATGTTAACTTACAACCAAATTTAGAAATCAGATTTTACTATTCAGTTTTTAGCAACAGTTGAAATAAATGGTCAAAATTCTGCCTGATTGTATTGGGAACCTTGTCTTGTATAAAGTGAGATACTACAACATGGCTTGAAGCATCCACAAGACTTAGTTGAACCTGTAACATTAAATGCAATCCAATATTTGTGTTAACAAGCACCCTGTGCATGTAAAAAACATTAATAAATTCTGTCTGTCTACCTTTAGCTTTTCCACATAACCTCACATTCAAAACTTCAAAGTTTTTTCCTCGTACTAGGGGCCGTGGGGTAGCCTAGTGGTTAAAGCGTTCGCTCGTCACACCAAAACCCCAGGTTCGATTCCCCACACGGGTACAATTTGTGAAGCCCATTTCTGGTGTCTCCCGCCGTGATATTGCTGGAATATTGCTAAAAGTGGCGAAAAACTAAACTCACTCACTCTTCACCGTACACGAGACAACTGATTGTGTTATAAGTAGTTTGTCAAGCTTTCATGAATTCGGCAAACAGTGGTTAATTCGAGATTATGTGCACATGTTCCTATTTTGTTTCTCACCAATGCAGTATTAAACAATGCGATATAGGCAGCAGACCAAACCATGTGTCAGCTTTTGTAGGTTTTTGTGACAAAAGTGCAACCAGTTTTTGTCTGGTGCAACCAGTTTTCATGTCTGCATGCACGTGGTGCAAGTTAAAACATGTTCCTTGAGGCTTGAACAGGAACAGACCTCAAGACTCCCTCCTCAATAGAGTTATAGTCAAAAGAATCTGTGATTTGGCTTATGAGATTCAGTATTTTCAGACAAACGTCTGTTGAAAATTATTCTAAATAATTAATCTAAAAGGAAAATTAAACTTATGTGTGAGATATGTTTTCCATTGCACATTAATGAGGTCCGTATGCATTGTGAATGACCTAAGCCATTATGGGTAGCTTACTCTTACCTCCTTATCTTGAAGTAATGTTCTCACATCCAGGGTTACCTACCCTTGTATATGATTGATGTGAGACTAAATTCTCATTGTATGCAAAGTAATGTCATGTTGTTTTAAAGGGAATTTCTACCTGTGAAGGGTAATGCTCTCTTCAATTTGTTTCAATGTTTGATTTGACCAAAGTTAGTTTTCTGAAAATTTGAATTTTGAATGTCAAAATGAGATTGTCATAACTGACACCCATGACAAATAATGGCATGTATGTGTGAGTCATTGTAATGTAAATGTTACTGTGATTGTTGCTATGATTATTTGTTACTGTGAGTGTCACTGGACCTTGTTTCAGAGCTGCCAAATCCTCCCATCAGTTGGTGTAAAGTTGAGGTGAGTTACTTGACCTATTTTCTAAAGGATCAATATTAACTCTGTGTAGAGTTGTCTCCCCTTAGAGTTCAAGGATCTGATGGTTCCTGATTTGAATCTTGGTTTGAGTATGCCCCTGTGAATTTTATATTCACTGAATATTCATATAATAATTAGAGCACTTGTAACAACTAAACTGGTTGTCTAGCCTTGAGTCTGTGTATTTCAGGCAGTGTTGATGAAGCCGGACTATATCACTGTGGTGAAGGACTCCTCTCTGGCTGCCCCTCCACTAGTGGTCATGTCTCTCAACCTGCTCACCCTCCCCAACCCCAAGACCCACCAGAACGAGGTAGGTATTGGACCATTCTCTGCAGAATAGTTTCCTGCTGTAGTAATATTATATAGATATAACTAACCAAGTGTGTTTCCTTATCATTAATATCATATATTAGGAATTAAAATTGTATTATGCGAATGTGCAATGGAAAACATAATACATAATTTTTATTCCTAATATATGATATTAATGATAAGAAACACACTCAGTTAATAATCTCTTATCATATAATGTAATTCTTAACTATGCTTGTCATATGAGGCGACTAACGGGATCAGGTGGTCAGGCTCGCTGACTTGGTTGACACGTCATGGTTCTCAATTGTGCAGATCGATGCTCATGCTGTTGATCACTGGATTGTCTGGTCCAGACTTGATTATTTACAGACCGCCACCATTTAGCTGGAATATTGCTGAGTGCAGAGTAAAACTCACTCACTATAATTACTTAATAAAAAGAACCAAATCATACATGAAGTTATATGAAGAGAATCGAGCATTCGCGTAAGAATACTTAGCGGTACACCAAGGTGAAGGTCATTCATGACAGCGTCATATGGTTGTGATAGTCGCTAATACAGTGTAATCATAACTCATGTTTGAAATAAGATCTTTCTGTCTTAAAAGAGCAACGAAGTCGGACAGGGTTTCCTGGTAGTGTTTCTATTTTCATTGCTGGTGATCACCTCATCAATATCAGTTTCTGATACCTGACGGAATCGATTCGTCGTCTGTATGTTGATCGATAGTTCGAAATCCTTGGTTGGTACCTTTATTGGACGGCTGCCTTTCAGTGGTGCCTCATAATCCGTACCTTCAATTTGAACAAAGTTCTCCATTTCATGTTTTCCAAAGTCAATTACTGCAGTAATGACTCCAGAACCTCTGTCATCAATTCTTACAGAATCACCAATTTTGATAATGGGGGCAGCCATGTTTGTTTACAAACAATGTAAACTCGCGATGGCGTCATCAATGAAATGTTAAATGTTTTAGAATTCGCATGGCATGTATGGAGTTTTGTGAAAGTAGTTCGTGGATTGACATAATTTGCATAGTTATCAGATTTGGATACCAAGTTTATCGGATTGCTTTATTGCACCGATAACACCCTCCATTAGATGAAAATTACTGGTATTTCATTTCTGGTATTCATTATTTAAGATTTTCTTTAGAACATACAATAAAAGATACAGCATATATGGAACAAGATAATAATACAAGATGCTATGTACAGTACAATACAGTGAACAAAACAATGTACAGTATAATATAAAACATTATCTTACTGAAGGTAGCAACTCTTTATCTCGAATAACATTGAATCACGTATGATGTACGGAAATTACCGATGTTTTGCGAATGGAAATCGATGGAAGGGAGATAACTCTAAATCTGTTTTTCTTGTCAGCAAAATCTAGCGATGGCTACAAAAAGATTTGTACCCGTGCTTCAAACAATTCAAAATTAACATTAAGGTGTTCGGTAAGATCGTTAAGATAATGTTTGTTTATGTTCCCCTCTCCCTTCAGGCTCAGGGAACATAAACAAACATCCAGGGTACATCAACCCATGTCCCCCTCGAGGCCAGTGAACAACTTATAATATACTGTATACTGCATTTATAACATACACAGCACACAACATGCAATAAAAATTCACCATTAACTATACAACATAATATAATATTCTTTATTATCCATTTGGTGAAATATAACCTGTGTCATAGGTCATGTACTCGGGCAATACAAAATTTCACACTCGTTTCGTATAACTCTCTTGCTTGTGTAATAATCTCTATTTATCATTACATGTGCAAACACCCTGCAGTGGAGTTACCTCCCCTTCCCCACTTTCAGATCATCGGGGCCGCCAGTTTGCTGCACAACAACTTCCACATGGACAAACCGGCGCCGTCCCAGCTGTTCCAGCAACACTTCTGTGGTGAGAAGCTGCATCCTTCTGACTGTTGAAAAATATGTGGTGCCATGATTTTCACATCATCTCAGGTCGTGTCTTTTTGTGTTCATGTTTGTGTACAGAATGTGGTGCAGCCAGTTTATCTGTTGTACAGACGGTTGTTAGCTGCAGCCTGCACCATGTGTAGTGATGAGAAAGTCCCCAATATAACCCTGATCTATTTGTTCTATTGGAATAATCCAGACCGATATGTTTTCAATTTTGCAGCGATATCGAAGCCTCAATGATTGTATATTCCCCTATGACTTCAAGGACAAAGCACAGAAAGAGGTTAGTAAAGCTACATAGGATTTAATCTTACCTCACACATAAATGTGTTTTCTGATTGACTGAGCCAATCAATGTACCCCAGCTTACAACCAAGTAACATTTTCTATGTTACCCGCTGGAAATGCCGAACTGTGGGGATTCTTTTGGTTCATCATGTTAGTAGTGTTTGGACTGTTGCCTAACTCCAGTACTCCTTAGTATGATCCAATACCCGGGCTTCAAACAGTTCAAAATAAACATTGAGGTGTTCGGTAAGATAAATACGTTTTTCACTGGTCCCTTCGGGCTCATAAACAATCAAAGAGGGTTATCAACCCATGGCCCCCTAGTGACCAGTGAACAACTTATAATGTCTCGCTCACACAGGATTGTATGTTACAGTTCTTTAGTAGGTCGTAGTAGTCGTTATGTCTTGTTCCCTAGCAACACTTCCTGTGGATGCCATCATTGCATGATGAATTAATACCACACTTCCTTATGCAGAGTCGGACAATGAAGACGGAAATCCTTCCTAATGAGAGGGCGCTGTTGGGTTTCCTGTTGGCGAAGATACATAAAGTAGACCCCGACATCATCGTGGTACGTTTAGGGGATAATTATCCCTTTTATAACCTTGACCACACAACTTATGTAAATGTGAAAACACAGGGAAATGGATTTCAGATTTCACCCATGACGCAGGGCCTCACAGGATTACTGTTTTGTCTTGTGCTGTAGCCTGGTGTTACTATTTACCTGGACACTAAAATACTTGTCGAACCCCACCATTCATTAGTACAATTGTTGCTTGATATGAACAGTTGTACTGTTAATATTATCTTGCATGTATGTATTTAAATGATTTGTGAGTTAAGTCTGACGATTCAGCAAATCCTGGTCATTTAAGACTTGTATTGATTGGATCATTCTCCAGTTTAAACTGATTTTCAGGGTCACGATATCTTTGGGTTTGACATCGACATCTTCCTGCATCGAATCAATGCCAACAAGATTCCACACTGGTCAAAGATAGGAAGGCTGAAGAGGACGACCATGCCCAAACTCTCAGTAAGTAGAGTGCTCACAACTCTCAGTAAATAAAATTGTTGAAAGTCCTTACTGTGAAACTTTTTGTTACTCACTTTGTTTCAAGTCTTATAGATATTGAGTGAGTGAGTGAGTGAATGAGTGAACAAGGTTTGAAAAAGGTTACATAGCTTTTAGCAATATCCTAGCAAGAACATGGTGGGAGCCACCAGATATTAGGTTCACAAATTCAAGCCACATGGAGAATTGAACCTGGGCCTTTGAGACAATTAAATGCTTTAACCACTAGGCTACCCCACTGCCTTTATAGATATGAAGTAAATAATTTCTGAAAGTTGCAATCAATAAAGATATAAGATCATGTATCCCAACACTTGCTGAAATCGACGTTCTGGTGATTTTGACGATTGCATTGCTCGTTATATATCAGGGGAGTACGTGTGCGATCGGAGTGAACAAACAGTTTCACTGTTAGGCGGATGCCCAGTCGCTGTCGTGAGAAGTTTTATTGACAATGGAAATCGGGAAGTAAAGTTACATAAAAAGCAAACAAACATCAATATTATTTACCTGAGATCGTTAATACCACTTCAGATGCAAAATCAGTTGCCTTTATAACAAAAAATAGCAAGTGAAAATTATTAAGATGAGTCGTCTGCTGGTGACAGGTAATATATAAATAGGAAGCCACGTGATTACAACACTCCCTCGCAGTGCGGAGCAAAAAGTATGGCTCATCGTCGAAAACCCATACAAAATACCCGGATGTTACGAGCGGCCACTGTTTCGCCGATACGATGTCATCAATGCTATTTTTGTAGGAAACACCTGATATTTTTGTGTGAAATAGATGAATATATCCTTTCTCACTCGAGGTTAGTAAAATAAAAACTTTAAATGATATTACAGATAAAAATTACATTTTTGTCTTACATCGTCGAAAACCCCTGACACCGGGATATTGCAAGTCTGTAATTATGAATGTATGATATTTTTCAGAGTGGTCACGGAGGACGAGGTTTCAGCGAGAAGTCCGCAGCATGTGGACGTTTGTTGTGCGACATCAAAATATCCGCACGGGAACTGCTTCGTTGCCGTAGTTACGACCTTACAGAACTATCTAATCAAATTTTAAAGCAAAAACGGGTGGAACTGGAGTTTGATGACATTAGAAACATGTACAGGTACGTGGAACTGGGAGAACTAGTGGTGGTCTGATTAATTGAAATAATCGAAGATTGGTCGCAGTGACTACGCAGTGACTAAACGACTGTTTTCTCATAATCGAACACAAACAATTCTGGAACACTTGTTTTCATTAACAATATTTTTCACAAGGTTGGTTTTGTCTGTTACATTTCATAAGCACTACGAGCTCATTTCAACTCATGATTGAATTTATCTTAAAGACTCCAAGAAATTTATGTTCCTAACATACTAGTCATCCTTTAAAGATGTGAAATTTTGCCAAAAACCCCCAAAAGAACTACATGTTTTTTCCTTATTTTTATGTGCATTAACAAATTTCATTAATGACGCTAACCAATTTTTTGGTTGATCGGTTGTAATGAACCAATCATCAATTATAAGATTTTAACCAATTCCCAACACTAGTGAGAACAATTTGTTCTGTGGCACTTAATGGAATCGATTGTGAAAGCCATGCCATTTTATGGGAAGAGCTTGAAACAGAGATCAAATCGTATGGTTATACCTTGATTACTAGAAGGCAACTATAGATGCAAAGAAGTACATGTATTTGGAAGAGAGTTTTTTCTGGTCATGGAGACACTGATGTCAGTTAGATTGTTCATAGAATCATACTCCTGATTTTTCATCTGGGATGGATTTTAAGGAAAGGAAAACAACTTGCACCTGGTGCAACCTTCGATAATCACCTTGTTGCACCACACAAAAACAGGCTGTACAGGTTGCTCAATGTTATTATCTATAATCCTTGAGTTATGGTATTGATGAATAGGGGTGAAATGGTACGCTGTTACCACGGTACCATACGTATTGCGGTACAAGGCCTTTGCTTTGGTTTATTTCGGTTCGGTAAATGAGATATGATCATAATGCAGGAAACTGACAGCAAGAGCCGTCTAGCAAAGAAATGCATAGATTTTGACAAAATGATTTGAATTCTAGACATTTTAGAAAAGGTTTTAAAAAGTTAATAAACTGTCAGTATGAAAACCAAATTTTTGGATTGCATTACGGTATACCAAACCGAAGGCAAAATACTGTGGTTCTACCATTTCTCCCCTAATGAATTAGATCAGTTTGTTTATTCCACATCTCTCCTTTGTAACAAGACTGATTCATAGAGGCCAAATACCTCACTGAGGAATATTTTTATAATCCTTGTGTATTTCAGCTCCTCCAAACAGCTGTTGCAGCTCATAGAACTGTCGCTGGTGGATTCCACGTACATCCTGAGAATCATGTATGAGCTAAATATCATCCCACTGGCTTTACAGATCACAACCATCTGTGGAAACGTCATGGTGAGTTAAATTTACGCTCATCAGGATTTACAGATCAGGACAATCAAGGGCAGTGGCATTCAAACAGTCTGTTTGAAAAACAGTTCTATAATATCTGTGATGAATGTTATGCATCTGGAGTGCTTATACCACAGGATTCACTTACATCATGGTCTAATGAAAATACTGAAGCAAAACAATTAGGATACTGTTAACTTGACTCTTTTCCACATGAAATTACCCTTTTTTCTCACCTGTGAAGATCTGGGATAGAACCGGTCTTCAGCAGCCCATGCTTGCCGTATGAGTTGACTAACAGGATCAGGGCTCCTTTTCACAAAGCTCTTGTAAACCTAAGATCTTGTATCTTTACTTGTAGCATTCGTACCTCCTATACTGCAACATAGGAGGTACGAATGCTACGAGAAAAGTTACGAGATCTTAGGCTTACGAGAGCTTTGTGAAAAGGGGCCCTGGTGGTCAGACCTGCTGACTTGGTTGATACATGTCATCGTATCCCAATTGCGTAGATCAATGGTCATGATGTTGATTACTGGATTGTCTGGTCCAGACTCGATTATGTCCAGACCGCCGCCACAAAGCTGGAATATTGGTGAGTGCTGCAACAGCAAACAAACGTTTCTTTTCAAATATACAAATAATAGTTAACATCCCTACCGTTGCTCCAGGAAGGGTGGAAGGATTTATTGACACTGACCCTTGTGCCTCAGCTGAATCCTTACATTTGTTAGTATCTTTTGAATATGTCATCACATGCCATGAAAATTTAGGATTTGTGTTATTTAAAAGACAACGATGGCTGTACCGTCAAGGGGGGTTAAAGTATTGTAATTTTTTGTCCTACTGAGAGGGTACGTAAGTCCCGAAACATTCAAAAGCAATTTAAATTAACCATATTTTTAAATGTAGCTTTTTTGTCATTTTAAGTTTGGCTAAACTTGACCAAAATCGCCAGCAGCAGAAGGGTTGATATAAATCCAGTTAGGGTCCATGCAGGTAGCCAAAGTACTGTAAGTCCCCATGGTCCCTAGTATGGTGATCGGCCTTCAGTGGCTGGTGATCTATAGCCCGTTTTTATATTGTAATGTTGTCTATAATGATATCTTTTTATGATAGTGTACTAGTTTTAGATAAAGAGCTGTGATACTCTAGTAGTTTTACTGTGCTTAGAATACAATTTTTTTATGTTCTCAATTTATTGATTTTATTGTTGGTATAAATTAAATTGTTCTCGTCACGATATGACTGTGATATTGCCGATGTGACGTTAAATATATTAACTCACTCACTCACTAAACGACAATGAATGTCTATGGTTTCTGTCCTCCAGGCACGAACCCTGCTGGGAGGTCGCTCGGAGCGGAACGAGTTCCTGTTACTCCACGCCTTCCACGACAAGAACTTCATCCCTCCGGACAAGGAGTACAAGAAGAAGGCAGCTGCTGTGAGTTAAACAAATCTGGAATAAAGTTTGACACTACCCTCACTTCATGATGCATTTAGAACTGTCATCAGTTCTTGTACGTTTAATGTTTGTTGAAGTATAAACATAAAACCTTGTGTTTGGACTACTACTCGGAATCATACAAATTATGAAGACAGGTTTCTACATTTAATACTCTGTAAAAGCAAAAGGTAATGAATTTAATGCTGAGACCAGACCAATTTCATTTCTTGTTTTACAGATTTTATGTCCTCAGAAAACCTAAAGGCAGGAGGGAAAAAAAATTAAAATAAAAATCACCAGTCAAAGTAACATTCCTTTTAAATACTAAAAGTGTTATACTTTTGGCAATTTATGAAGTGTATATGGGGCAAAAAATGATAACAAAATATATTTTTTGTAAGTTAACATTTTTGGCCAATAAAACATTAGGATTTTATTTTTTGGGCGGGGAAAATTAATTATTATTATTTTCTTATTCTTGAAAAAAAACGACCGGTGGATCCGTAAAACAAGAAATAAAATTGGTCTGGCCTTAGAAAAATATGAGCAGTAGCACAGCACAGTAATGCAAGCCAAACCCCTCCAATTCTGTTATGAACTGACAATCAAACAAGAAAAAATTGTGTCCAGGGACATGGATGCCCCCGCTGACATTCATAAGACATATAAAGATCAATAATAGAACAAAATTCACGAACAAGTTCAATAAACATCTATGCAACTATGAGATGCACACCTTTTGAGTCCCAATGAAACACACATATAAGCTTAATCAATTCTGTTGAGCAGTTTTTGTGGAGAAGTGGATAGACTTAATCCCCTATTTCACTATCATCAGAGAGAAATTCAACAAAATTTATCTAAGTTCAAATGTCTCTAAACATACAAAAAAAACTATAAAAATACAAAAACAAAATATGAAATGCACACCTTTAGAGTCGCTATAAAAGTCATATGTCAGCTAAATGAGTTTGTGCAGTGGTTTTTGAGGAGAAGTGGATAAAGTACACCCCCTGTTGTATGGAATGAACAGGATGAATAGAACCAAATTCAACTAAGTTCAAACATCTGTAGAAGTGACAAAATTAAGAAATTGGATGAACAAGGTATGAGATGCACACCTTTAGAGTCCCAATGAAACACACGTAGAAGCTCATTAATTCTGTTGAGCAGCTTTTGTGGAGAAGTGGATAGACTTCAAATAACAATATATTCAGAGAAAAATTCAACAAAATTTATGTAAGTTCAAATGGCATTAAAATTGGAAAAATAAATAAAATACAAAATCAAAATATGAGACGCCTTTAGAGTCCCTATAAAGCACATGTGTAATCTAAATGAATTCCATAAAGTAGTTTTTGAGGAGAAGTGGATAACGTACACCCCCCTGTTGGATGGAACGAACAGGCTGAATAGAACAAAATTCAAACATCTGTAAAAGTGACAAAATTAAGAAATTGCATTAAAAATTATGAAATGCACACCTTTAGAGTCCCTACGAAAGACATGTAGAAGTTCATTCAATTCTGTTGAGCAGTTTTTGTGGAGAAGTGGATAGACTTCATCCCCTATTACACTATCATTATAGAGAAATTCAGCAAAATGTACCTAAGTTCAAATATCTCTAAACTTACATAAAAAAACCAATAAAATACAAGAACAAACATATGAGTCCCAAGCATAAGTTCATTGAATTCCCAGAGCCGCTTTTGTGGAGAAGTGGATAGAGTACAGCCCCTGTATAAGTTCATCGACGATCTAACCCTATATGCCCCCAGCCATATAGAGTACATTCCCTGTTTCGGACGGGACGGACGGTAACCCTATATGCCCCCAGCCATATATGGCGGAGGCATAAAAACAACAATCTTATAATGGGTGTGGACCATTTTTTTATCATTAATGCCCTTATTCAAAATATGTTCTGCAGAAATGATGGTTATTTCTGTTTGAAGACATATCTGAGGAAGTTACTAACTCTATGTTATCGAATTTCAGTTGTTTGAATGATTCCAGTCAAACTTTCTGTGATTGCAAAAATTTTCATCTAAGTTTAAAAATGAAATATACTCCACCGCGACTAAAACCAGCCTATTGTTTTGTGTGCGTTGAAACTGTACCCCCTGGCCACACTATAATGAAATCGTCTGACCTACTTATTTTCTTTTGAAGTAGACAGTTACGCAACAGTTTGAAATGGCGGACGAGCCAGTGTTGTTTACATTTTGCGAAAGGTTGAAATTTGAAGTGACAGTGGACAATACTTGACTGACTGTTGAATCTGAACCCTGCAGAATCGAAGAATAGATCCTTTCCTGATCAACCTACGACCTGTAACTTATCAAAGACTGTTGATTGTTATGACCGGCCGATCATGATTTCATGTACTGCCTCCACCCCGACATGCGACGTACATGCGACTAACTTGTGATTCCTTGGAACTTTGTTTTCATCGTTTGGGACTGGGCTGTGTCCAAGCGTTTTTCAAAGTAGATGAACATAACAGTGACAACCTTGCGGGGAAACTGGCAGAGAGCAGAATTATTTTGTGAACGATGCAACGGGATATGATGGAGTATGGCTATGAGTGGCATAAATGTGGTGTTTCGCCACACCGTTAGATCTATCTTGCAAATTTCCCATTCTAAACGGAATTAAATATACCATTTACCAGGTAGGTAAATGTTTACTAATGTTTTGCTGCATATTTTGTATAAATAGGGATGTATGTTTACAAGGCTTTCTGATTTATATGTTAGATATTGTTTTGTTTATGTTTGGGGCTGTGTATTGTAATTGAGTTTGAATATTTTTATAATAGAAGGTAATATGATAGTGAAGTTCCCTCATAATTGTTGGAAATCATATAACTGTATTTTTCGAGAGTTTAAATAAATGTTTTGTCAGCATTTCCATCACGTCTGTTGTGTTGATATTAGTCATGTTGGTGGTCAAGCTGAAGTAGTGCGGCAGTGTTCTATACGTCCGCAGTGAAGCGCAATGAAATCAACCGCATTTTTAATCCAAAAATTTCCAATTGCCTGTGTGGAAAATTCGAAAGTCAGCGTCAAAATCCATGGAGTTGTTGTTATGATCCGCCATCATTGTGGTCAAACGGAAGTAGTTCTCACAATAAGATTTGTCAATGCGCCGTGAAGCGGCCTTACAATCAGATGAGCGTCAATCCACAATTGATGCCGTCTGATTTTTCTGAACAACCAATCAGAATCTAGTATTTTCTTGATTCATGGTAGAAATGTAAAATAGTTTAGATGTAGAATGTAAAATATGAACTGGAAATGCCTCATTCCTCACAAGAATATGTAACGATTAAAAAGTTAAAAGAAGAATCCAGACATATAAGTGACTGAGAGCATTCCCTGGACCAATTGTCACTGGCATTTGTCTCGTTAGCCGGAGCATTTGTCGATCCTTGTGAAGTGTAAATTAAAGTTCAAGGTTATGTTTTGTCTGTCCAGACTGCGATGGATGATGATGAAGAGGGAGACAACTCCTCCAAGTCTCGGAAGGGCGTCGGAAACCGGCATACGCTGGTGGCCTGGTGCTGGAACCCAAGAAAGGTAACTCTGCGCTTTCCTGGTGTCCCCGTCATGATATTGCAGGAATAACGCTTAAAGTGGCATAAAACCATACTGGTCTAGACATTTATTTATTTTAATTTATTTTAATTTATTTGAGTCCTTAAGTATAAAATGAACATGTTTGTGGTTACGTTGATATTCAGGGTTCTACGACAAGTTTATCTTGCTGCTGGACTTCAACAGTCTGTACCCATCCATCATCCAGGAGTACAACATCTGCTTCACCACCATCAGCCGGACGATGCCTGGCGTCAAGAAGGAACACACGGTCAGAATACACAGGCAGCGTCCTGCAGATTTACTTGCCCTCAGAGTTATGGCTGTTTTGGCAAAAACGGTATTTCCGCCAGGCTTCTAATAAGCACCAAGAGTAAAGCAGCAGTATAAGAAATAAGCGTACAGCCTCTAATAAGTGCCGGGTCTCTAATAAGTGCGGAGAATGTTTTTATCCCCCCAGCATGTAATGCAGGGGGATATAGTCGACGCCTTGTCCGTCTGTCCGTGATCATTTTGTTTCCGGAGCATGACTCAAAAACCGTTAGATATTTTTCAGCAAAACTTGGCAGATGTGTTAGGTAGATCCCACAGTGGTGCCTTTTGCTATTTGCAGATTTTTGACACTTTTATTTTTCCCGGTTTCCATGGAAACTGTTCGGACTTAGTCTCAAAAGGGAGGGGTGGCCTTCGTTTACGGAGCACAACTCGAAACCTTTTCAATATCTTTCAACAGAACTTAGCAGATATAACCCACAGAACCTACAGTGGTGCCTTTTGCTATTTGCAGATTTTTGTCATTTTTATTTTTCTTGGTTTCCATGGAAACGTTTTGGACTTAGTCTCAAAAGGGAGGTGTGGGTTTCGTTTCCGCAGCACAACTCGAAAACTTCTTACTATCTTTCAGCAAAACTTGACAGATATGTGAGGCAGATCTTGAGGTGGTGCCTTTTGCTATTAACAGATTTTGGCATTTTTATTTCCGAAACAATTCGGACTTAGTCTCAAAGGGAGGGGTGGGCTTCATTTCCGGAGCACAACTCCAAAACCATTCAATTTCTTTCAACAGAACCTGGCAGATATACGAGACAGATCTAGAAGTGGTGCCTTTTGTTATTTACAGATTTTGGGCATTTTTCAGGATTTGCATTGAAACGATTTGGACTAAGTCTCAAAAAATCAAGCTGGACTTTAAGTAACTTTGTTCTTTCAGATATGGGGGGGGAGGGGATGTCATTTTCTGATGACTCTTGTTGTTATCCCCCACAACGCGTTTTGCGGGCGGTATTAAAATGGACCCGTGCACATTTGTCTTTTCCAGAGCACAACTCTAAAACCATTCACTATTTCTTCACCAAACTTGGCACATAGATAGATCTGGTGGTTTACTGGTGCCTTTTGGTAGTTTTGGATACCTGAATAAAATATTTTTGGGTGTTTCCATGGCAACAAGTTTGACTTAGACTGAAATTGGTGGTAGTACTCTTTTCCGGAGCAGAACTTTTAACTGTTACATCACCAAATTTCATACATAGGTAGCTCTAGTGGTGAACTGGTGCATTTTGGTAGTTTTGGATTTCTGAATAAAAAATGTTTGGCGTTTCCATGGGAACAATTTTTGCTTCGACTGAATTTGGTGGTAGTGCTCCTTTCTGGAACAGAACTTTGAAACCTTACAGTACTCTCCTTCCACTTAGTTATATACACGCCAAAACATTTGACATAGTAACTTGTAGACATATTCATTAAGAGTATTTTGGCATTGCTGACTTTGTCTTCTTGTCATTTTTATTTTTATCGGCTTCCATGGAAATGAGTAAGACTTAGTCTCAAAAGGGAGGCGTGATTTTCGTTTCTGGAGCACATGGCGAAAACTTTCATTAGATTCTTTATATCGTTCTTGTTTTCCTTGTTTTTTAGCTGTGAATGTTTTTAATGAATGTTGACTTATTCCTGTAAGTAGATGTCTGCAACATATCAATATTGACACTCTGTTGTTGCTGGCAGGAGGAAGACGAGGAAGAGGCGCTGCCTGACCTCCCTGACCCTGACCTTGAACCTGGCATCCTGCCAACAGAGATCCGGAAGTTGGTGGAGAGCAGACGTCAGGTGAAGCAGCTGATGAAGACGCCTGATCTTGCTCCCGAACAGTACATGCAGGTCGGTACCTACTAAATATACCCCAGTCAGTCAGTGAGATAGGTTCTACATAGGTATATACTAGGGATGCTACGATACATCGATACTTTTTCTAAGACGATACAATTATCGATACATTCAAAACTGTATCGATATTTAGTTTTGAAAGTATCTGTTTAAATATGTTTATGTATCGTGTACATTTTGCAATTGTATCATGTTTTTTTTATGTTATGAGAGCTATAAATGATTATTTTTCATGCACAAAGATGGGAAATTAGAACTGATTAATCTCTGAGAATAAAAAATGTTGCTCTTTTCATGGACAATTATAAAATATGGAATATTAATGTGTAAAATGCAACTAAATTTACGCAATAAAGCCACGAAAATAATTATCATGATACATATCGAATCATGACATGGGTATCGTGATACGTATCGATTCATGAAACTTATGTATCGTGACATCCCTAGTGTATACCACACTTATCCAGGAATTACTATCTGCTCAAATAAGGTTCATTTCTTCCAGACCAGTAGATCTCTGTGCATTCAAAGTATCATTCTCAACTCCTTTGGGAGTATACAACACAAGCTGCCTATGGGCACAGGAGGGTTTATATTCACCTTACGTTACTTAAACCTGTCTTCAAATTGTGGTATTTCTCTGGCACTCACATTTATGTTTTTGCTTGGGTTCTCAAACCAATAGTTTGAATCTGGCCAAATCTCTCTTAAATCAATTGCATTAATATCAGATCTCTACCACATCTGTACCTCTCCATGTGACAACTCCATAGGAGGTAGTGTCTTCGTTCTAGTCAGACAGTCAGTCTCGAGGATTTTAAAGTCTCGGTTTATGCGTTTATATTGGGCGTTAAAAGTTTGTGCAGGGTTCACATCACTCAAGCTTGTAGTGTTGGGTTTCGGACTTTTCGATTTCTGTCATAACAAATTGTGTGGTACCTGGTTTGAAGAGCTACTGACTAATGAGTTTTGTTATGTTTCAGTACGACATCCGTCAGAAGGCCCTCAAGCTTACAGCCAACAGTATGTACGGGTGTCTGGGCTTCACATTTTCACGGTTCTACGCCAAACCTCTGGCGGCTCTCATCACAGGCAAGGGCAGAGAGGTGAGTCTGTGAATGTTTTCTTTCTCAGGAATTCTTTGTTCGTCATTTGGGAGAATTCAAGTTTCCTAGATTTTCACTTGTCTCAGAGTAAAGGATCAATGGTGGATTCTGTTTGTGTAAGCCACCTAAACATCCTGACCCCATCACATGCCGATGCCAGGACACCACACCTTGCCACTTAACCTTGACACCAGCAGACCTTGACACCTCTTGACTGAGACACCCTGACACCACCAGACTCGGACACCCAAGACCCTGACACCACCAGACTAGAACACCTCTTGACTCAGACACCCAGCACCCTGATACCATTAGGCCTGAACACCTCTTGACTCGGACACCCAAGACCTGAACACCTCCAGACCCAACACCATCTTACCTAGCCAGTACCCTGACACCACCAGACTCGGACACCCAAGACCCTGACACCACTAGACTAGAACACCTCTTGACTCAGACACCCAGCACCCTGATACCATTAGGCCTGAACACCTCTTGACTCGGATACCCAAGACCTGAACACCTCCAGACCCAACACCATCTTACCTAGCCAGTACCCTGACACCACCAGACTCGAACACCTCTTGACTCAGACACCCAGCACCCTGATACCACAAGACTTGAACACCTGTTGATTTGGACACCCTGACACCACTAGACTTGGACACCTAAGACCCTGACACCACCATATCTGAACACCACTTGACTCAGACACCCAAGACCCTAAAACCTACAGACCTAACACCATCTTACCCAGCCAGCACCCAGACATCACCAGACCCTAGCACTTCTTGACTCATACACGAAGACCCTAAAACCTACAGACCTAACACCATCTTACCCAGCCAGCACCCAGACACCACCAGACCCTAACACTTCTTGACTCATACACGAAGACCCTAAAACCTACAGACCTAACACCATCTTACCCAGCCAGCACCCAGACACCACCAGACCAATCAGTCTGCCATAGTGTATTAGAAACAATCAGGGATTGACGACCTCTCTTCATTTATCACTTTCTTCGTATTTTTCATCAATTTTCATCCCCCCACTTCCTCTAGTCAGTGCTATTGTGATACCATATTTTCTGACCTGAATTGAAGAACACTTCCTATGTATAACTATGTACTCTGGCCTACATTGACAAATTAACTATTGTTATAGGAAAGAATCGTTTGTTCTTAAACTTTTAAGTAGAATCAATTTTTTCGAGAAACAGTGAATCATATGAGGATGAGAACAGTTAATCACCTGAAGTTTGTGACAGTGGCGCCACCTGTCAGTTGCCGTATTGATGTAGACGAATATTTCCAAATGAAGCCATCTGCTGTCTGGCGAGCCAGTCTGATTTGCCAAAAGCAGATACAAAGTTGCACTTCCGCCCGGAGAGCAGAAGGTCGGGGGCTCGATCGCTGGCCTCGTCATACCAAAAGACGTTAAAATATGGTACTTGTTGGTCCCTGCTTGGCGCTCAGCATTTATGGGTACAACAAGCTCTGGTCGGCTCGGAGCCCATGTAATGTGTCTAAGTGGGGTATTCATGTTACCTGTTCCTGAGACAGGATATGACTGTTTCACTGGTCATGGTTGTGTTGGAGTATGCTGGTGTTCTGTCTGATTACTGTGTTAAGCAGCTTAGGGCCAAGGTGTTTCTAGGGCTTTTCTCCCACCCCATACAAGGCACATGTAATATGTTTGAAAAATCTGTCTGTTCAACCAGCAGTTAATGGGTACCAGGTAGGATGGGATGGTTATGTGTCTGTTCAACCATCAGTTAATGGGTAACTGGCAGGATGAGATGGTAATGTGTCTGTTCAACCATCAGTTAATGGGTACCTGGTAGGATGAGATGGTAATGTGTCGGTTCAACCATCAGTTAATGGTTGCTTACCTTGTAGGATGAGATGGTAATGTGTCGGTTCAACCATCAGTTAATGGTTACCTGGAAGGAAAACATAGTAATGTGTCTGTTCAACCACTGGTGCCTTACAGACAGGTAGGGTTGTATGAGGGGTGAGAATGAAAACTCTGGTCATCCTGTTCTAGTGATGAAGGTACCAGCAGTTAATGGGTACCAGGTAGGATGAGATTGTTATGTGTCTGTTCATCCAGCAGTTAATAGGTAACTGGCAGGATGAGATGGTAATGTGTCTGTTCAACCATCAGTTAATGGGTACCTGGTAGGATGAGATGGTAATGTGTCTGTTTAACCAGCACTTAATGGTTTATTACGTTGTAGGATGAGATGGCAGTGTGTTGGTTCAACCATCAGTTAATGGGTACCTGGTAGTAAGACATAGTAATGTGTCTGTTCAACCATCAGTTAATGGGTACCTGGTAGGAAGACATAGTAATTTGTCTGTTCAACCACTGGCTCCTTAGGGTTGTATGAGGGGTGAGAATGAAAACCAAGGTCATCCTGTTCCAGTGATGAGGGTTATAATAATAATAATGTAAGAATACATTACAGGGGGACTAGTCCGTTTGTGATGTTAGCCCAAATGTAGAGTAATTCTATTTGGACTAGTAAGCTTGGCTGGTAACAACATCTACGGAAGCCTACAACATCTTGCACAGATTGAGTTACGGCTTTACAATCGGATGGTGATTATTATTATGTTTGATTCTTTGACACTATTTAAGTTACAGTATTCAAGATTTTGATCAGTGACGGGTATTTTTTAACTTTATGTAAGAAATACAGTTAAAATTTGAACTTAAGGCCAAAAAAAATATATATGTCTGTTTCCTATTACATGCTTTTTAAAAATAGGGTAGGTGGGTTGGGTTTATCTCTTTTTCTTTTTTTTTACTTTTTTTTTTTTTTTTTTTTTTTTTTTTTTTTTTTTTTTTTAGAAGCACCATGTGGGCACCTGAGAATGTCTAGAAGGATACCATATCATGTTGTGACAATATCTTGTGATGAAACTTTGATAGATTTCTGTATCAAATCATTATTTATGTTATTTATTTGCAGGTTTTGTCAGTGAGAGCCCATTGTGCCAATTCAATGCAATCCATTTTAGCCCTACATACACTGAAAAACATGAAAATATCTTACTTGATTTGGATGAAAATGATGAGTTAAAATGCACTCCAGTCATGATTTTGACGTGGTTAAAAAAAGATTTAGGGTCGGTTTACCAGAAACGGACATATATTTTTTTTGTTGCCTAACATGTCTGATTATATTCAGTCAGTAACAAAGTTTCGATTGAAACAAACCATGTGAAAGACCTTTGCAGTGCTGTATTTTTTTAAAGTCAAAAAAGTCAAATCGTTAGGAGCAACATCTCTTATTTATGTTTAAAAAATAAACATGTATCCTTTATTTTGATTGGGCAGTAAAATGTGTCTAGGGTTTATCATCCATGGATGGTTTCTCTTGATGCAAATATGTATCAAATCGGATAAGATCTTTTTTAACTGATATTGATTTCATCTTGATCACGACTAAATCAGTTTTACCAAATAATTTTATAAATATTGCAAGTACTTGGTAGTAAAACACTTCAGGGTTGGTCAGGGGTTAAATAAATATCTGTGCTCATTACTAGAGCTGTTATAATTCACTCACATATTCAATAAATCGAACAGTAACTTTCAATTCATAATTGGCGATCATTAGAATCAGATTTTCATTATTTTTGGTGTAAAGGAGTATTTTTACTACAATTTGGGTGTTAATTATGAAAGTGAGATCTTCAAGATGCAATATATCCAAGCCAGGCAAGATAATAGTCAGCTCTCTCACGGCCGGGTATATCCAATTTGACAGTGATGTTGTCATTGTCATTGTTAGGACATATTCAGACTGTCAACATATCGTCATTGTTCTCTGAAATATATATAATACTTCTGTGGCCGACTTTTTTTTTAAGTCATTACTAGGGGTGGGTATTGCAGAGAATTTTTATATTGATATATATTGTGATGCGAAAGGTTATATTGCGATATGTATTGCCATATATTGCAAGAAGGGTTTTTAACAATAAACTACTAATGATCTAGTTAAAGCTTTATTTATAAAGCAAAACCACAACAAAATCACTATGCTTTATTAAGCTTTAATAAAAACTTTTAATCATGACAAAATAAGAATATAGATAATATTTAAATGTAATTTTCACCACGATCATTCTCACCACCATTACCACAATTGCCACAATCATCAAGGTTTCCGAGTGTTATGAAGTTTTCCGAATACAAGTCAAAATACCGGTTTTCTATCAGCGTATCGCAATACGTATCGTTTTCATGTCTGAACCTGTAAATACCGGTAAACCGGTTATATTGTGCAGCCCTAGTCATTACTAGGGCTGTAATGATGCATCAGACTATTAATGGATTGCAATTGTTGAGTCTCCGATAGCAATTAATCGATGGCAGAAACGAAAAACTATCAGTAGTATGTATGACTGTCGATAATTTAGTGTTTGACTTCCGTTGATAACTGCGCAGCGCAAAATACAGGAAGTACCAGATTTGTTCACTTTGATTTAGAGTTATCTGCCCATGTTACCTCATAAACAAACTTGATCTGGGTTTCAAGCTTCTTGTCAGTTATTAAAAGAGACTGAAACCACTTCAGCTTGTTTTCATTTCATATAAACCATACATTTATTTGGGAAATGACTTCAAAGGAGACAATTCAAGGAGAAAAAAACTATTGCAGTAGTTGATCACAATAGACTATCGCTATCGCAGTAGTTGTTTCTCCCTCAATAGTCACCCCCAGTCATTACCCAATATTTGTATTCGTGTATCACACTCGCATCATAGTAGATACGTTGCAACCCTACTCATTACACTGAGGCTAGAAGCGTACCCCATTACAATTTTAGTCAAATCTTTTACATTTTGACTAGATTTTGAACTGAAATATAAGTAACTTGAAAAGTGTTTGAAATTAAACAATGAAAGTCAAAGAATGCTTATGAATTATAGAAGTGAAAGAGTCTTTGTCATAACCATCAAAAGTCAGGATCCACATTAGA